GCAATCCTGCTTATGATTTATTAAACATAAGGGGTATTGCCGGAAAAAGTGGTCAAGTAAATACTTGAAAATTTTTATTTTTTATTTGTTTGTGTTTATTAAATTTGTGTGTTTGGATACACAAAGGTAAGCATGTATAGGCTTTGGTTTCTTTAAAATAAATATATATATTGTATATATGGATGTATATAATGCACCAAACTGTATTCGGTTTTCTCGAAATTAACCGTACGTGAAAACAGTTTGGCCGTAACCGCTATATTTGAATATAACCCGATTTTATTACTTTTAACATACATATATGCCAATAAATTATAAATAAGTAAAAGGAATCGTTACGACTCACTTTGTACCGCCTCAAGGGTATTTTGGGGGTTTTAGATGTGTGTATGTGTGTCAATGCCGAAAAGTCTGTTTCTCTCTCCACTGTCCGAGCTTGCTGTTGTTGTCCTTTGTCCCGCAGGTATGTTCCTTAGTTTGTTGTAGAAGATTTGTGTGATTTTATTTTTTATTTCGCGCCCGGTTACTATATAATTATGTTGGTATGTATTATATATTATGTTTAGTAATCGCGCCCGTTTAATTTGTGTTATTGTATATAGGTTTCGCGCCCGTTTTTTATATGTTTTATGTTTGTTCACAGACAGTATGTGAAAGATTTGTTGCACTTCTTTATGTATTTTATTATATATATTTTTTAGTGTATTTATATCTTATCTTTTAATCTATTTTTCCGCACAATTTGTATATATGTATTTATTTTTACGGCACTGAATGTATATTTATGTATATTTTTGTCTTCGGTACTTTTTATTTTTTTTTTATTTTTTTATTTTATTTTTTTTTTTTTTATATATATAGGATGTATATTCACTTGTACCGCGCTTGCTTGTTTCACTGTACACTGTTTTTTGCTTTAGGTATATGTATTTTATATGTAAGTAAGATCTCCGCACTTTATTTAATATAATTATTTATTATTATTATTTTATTTTATGTTTTTTTTTTTCAATAGTGCCTTTCCTTAAGGCTCGAAGGACCATGAATAATTATGCTATAATGTTAGCACTCAACATTGACATTATTACTTCCCGTTTCTTTCACAAACGCCTTTTTAAAGTTTAAATTGAAATATTCTTTATTTTTTTTTATTGAATGTTTCACAAGTTTTTTATTGGTTTAACACTTTTTTGATAAAAATTAATACTACGATTTTAAACTCAGAAAGTTTTGACGGTTGGTAGCGGAGATAGCGATTTCATACGTTGCCCAAAGAGATCGGAATTATTTCGAATGAGGTGAATTGAAGATCCAATCCCTCTTTTTGTTGATGGTGTGGGGTGTCATCGTGTATGGTGGTAATTTCTGTGTTGACATCGTGTGCAGTGTGGTCGTTTATGTTGTGAGTGCGTGTTGTGTTCCAAGGTGTGGTGTGTTGTATTAGGGTGTGACATTATTTACCCTGAAGAAGCGGTGTAGTTGGAAGGGGACTTTATAGTCATTTAAACAGTAAGATTTGAACTTTGGCAAAATACTTGATGTTGCAATAAGGATAGTGTGTGCTATACAAACATCATCACAGACGATATTTGTATGAATTAGCCTAATGTGTGAACTTAAACAGTTATCATTTTTTATTTGTTTCGAATTATAAATTTGTATGTTAATATTCTTGAAATCGCCATTTCTTTATGCGCATGTCCAAATATATTTGCATATATGTACACATACGTTCGTATATCGTACATATGTATGTATGTCACTCAATATGCATTTTGCAAAAGACTTTGGTCTCACGCAAGCGACAAAAAAAGACGCAGACACACTTTATTTTTTTGATTCTAAGTATTTCATATTGCAACGACTACAAATTCATTCATAAGAAACGCGCGTATACTATTTTGAATACCAATACAAACCAGCAAAAATTTTAATTTAACAATTGAACTGCCACTGAAAATTCTACCATCCCCTCGCATTTGCATGTTGCCCACAAGCTGCTTGCTCACGACGATGCTAAAAATCAGAAATTGAAGAATTTGTCTTGTGACAAACATGGATGCATTGTATAAATCTGCAAGAAACCAATCCCAAGATGTTCACTAAACACACGCAAAAACGTCCAAACGCCTGAAATCACAGTGTGCTACCGTGTTATGTTTTAAAGTTTATAACTTTAGGAATGTTTTTATTACATATTTAAATATTTTTCGATTATTAAAATTCATAAAGAATAAATTTACATTTAATTAGTGATTAAGAATATTTTGTAAATATTATTATACTATTATACATATATATTTTTTTCTAGTTATATTTTTTATGAAAAGTAGATTGATTTAGAACTGTATATAATATAATGGGTGAATATAGGCATCCGGGGGAACCGAACATCCAAAAAAGATCGGTAATGCGCCTACATGGCATGCTCAGAGGTGGTGAGAAAAAACAATAAGTATGAATAAACTTTGTTTCGAAAATTGATGATTGGAAATTGATAGTTTTCGTTAATGTTTTCCATTACAAATACATTTTAACAAAAAAAAATATTAAACTACATTCAATTTATTTTCATCTCTGTGTCAAAAAGGACAAATTTCGATCAGGTGATCTCAGCTGTGTTACATAAATCGGAAAACAGCTGATTCCTGTGTTACTTGTAGGATTCTACAATGCACAGATGATAGAACAAAATCGAACCGACGTTTAATTGCTAGAAGCAACTAGACAGCGAATTTGTAGTTGCCAGAATGTTCTAGTAGCGAACTTTTGTGAAAGATTTACTATATAAGTGTTGCCGGGTTGTGCAGCACAGTTCTAGTTACAGTGTCGTCGTGTTAAAAGCAATTGAGACATAAGCAAGAAATTGTAAGCTCGAATAACGAGCAATAAGTGTTAAGTTGTTGGAATTAGAAATAAAGATAAGTGTATAGACATTAAATTGGGAATTTTATTTAACAATCCAGTGATCGAGCTTAAGAGTGAGTTATAGGTGGACAATTTAGACGATTGTCAAATAAATTCTAGAGAGAGATTTGTTTGAAAATGGCTAAGTTTAATCATCTAAAGATTTCATAACTGAAGCTGGAGCTGGAGCTGGAGCAACGTGATTTGGCAACAAATGGAGTAAAGCCCGACTTACAGTTACGTTTACGAAAGGCCATGGTAGCAGGAAACGTTAATGTTGAGGAATACGTCTCAATGTACAACAGAGGTTATTTTGGCTGCGTTGAAAGCGTTTGGTGAGCGTGTGTCAGCAGAGTTCGAAGCAAGTGTCCCCCCAGTTGGAAGAGCAGGATGCGTGTATAACAACTCAGATGTCCTCACAGTCAGAAGAGCTAGAAGCGCGTATACCAGTATGAGGGTCCTCATAGTCGAAAGAGTTGGAAGCGTGTATACCAGTACAAGGGTCAACACAGTCGGGAGAGCACGAAGCGTATATACCAGCACAGGTGGTAGAGCAGGATGAAATTGAAGCTGAGACGGATGAGTCTTTGAAAGAAGATCCAGATTTGCAAGGTGTAATGCATGAAGTGGAATTAAACAAATGTACAACGAGTGGAGAAATAACTGCAGAAAGCTCAGTCGCCAATTTATATTGGGCAGAGCGAAGCAGTTTAAAGTTGGTGAGCGGCTGCTTGCATCAAGTATGGAAGAGCAAAGAGATATGATTGTTCCGAAGCTTAGAAGTCTTGAAGTACTCAACGAGCTGCACAAAGGTCCAAGAGGAGAGCACTTGAGAATCACGAAAACCTTGGAGATACTGAAGCAAAGGTTTTATTGGACTGGTTGTCGTCAATAAGCTATGGAGAGGATTGCCAAATATGCTGAGTGCATTGTAGCTAAAGGGTCAAGGTCCAGTCGTCATGGTCAGATGAAACTGTGCAATTCGGGTGCTCCAGTTGAGCAAATTGTCGTGGATGAAGATGGCCAATTTCAAACCAAAAAATTAGAAAAAAGTCATGTTTTGGTAGTAAAGAACCATTTCAACGAAGGCCGGAAGTATACATAATTCCTAATCAAGAGGCTGAACCAGTGGCGGACGCATTCATCAACAAGTGGGTAATGATATTTGGTGTTCCCATGGAGTTACGTTCTGATCAAGAATGGAAATTGTGCAGCAAACACAGTTCTAGTTAGAGTGTTGTCGTGTTAAGAGCAATTGAGACATAAGCAAGAAGTTGTAAGCTTGAATAACGAGCAATAATTGTTAAGTTGTTGGAATTAGAAATATAGAGGCGATTTATCAAGAAATCCGTTACAGTCTGATGTCCCCTTCTGAAAAGAGAATTGGCAACATGGCCTATTAGCGACTAAAATATTATTTTAATTTATTTCATATTATGCACTATAAAAGGCATTAAATTATAAGGTATATAAAATTGCCATTCATATTAAATCTTTAATAACTTCTATGACTGCAAAAAGGCAAAAGTGACAACATGAACGACATTATCGATTGAAACAAATTTTGTCAACTCCGAGACGATTCGCACAATTCGGTGTCAATATGTATGCGAACTCACATGTATGTATGCCAGGCTGATCCAAAAAAAAAATTTAATTTTTTCAAATTAAAAAAAAAAAAATTTTTCGAAATCCTCACGTTAAAACTTTCGTAATGTAAAAATACGACTGTGAAAATGAGAGCCCTTAATATTAATATTGCGCATCGCAGATTTCTATTTCCCATTTAAATAACACGGAACAAATTTTTCTTTAATTTTGGATTTTTGCAACTCTGAACCGGTTTAACGGATTGTTGAACCAAATTATATCCTTATAGGAAATTTGACGTTCTACAAAAAAGTATTTAGAAAATTAATATCTTCATTTTTTCTATTGCAATGTATTTGATAATTTAAAGCAAACATTTATAAAATTTTGAAAAACTTACTATACTACACTTCCAATAGTTTTAACCAAACAAAATACTGTTTATCAATCTTCTTATTCTAAGGAGTATCAATGTATCTATTTATAATATTGTAATATGTTACCTGATCGTGTATGGCTAATATTGGATTGTTATCGCCCATTTCAATGCAGGCACGTACAACGCGATTAAGCTTATTTTCCATTTCGGCATCACCACGCTGAACAGCATTGAAGTCTATATCGGAATAACTGGAACCTTGTACTTCTACAGAACTGGCAGCACCACCTCCCACACCAATACGGTATACTGGTCCGCCTATTTTAACCAGTAACATTCCTACAAATTTCAAATCATCACGTAAATCAAACATTTCAAAAATCTTACGTAAATCAAATATATCAAAATTTTCAAATAAATCACACATTTACAATTTTTTATTTGTTACCTCTTTTCGGATCAACTTTTTGACGCATTGTTGGGTCCATTATGCCCATACCCCCGCTAAACATGATTGGCTTAACATATTCTTGGCGTTCACCAACCCAATTCTCGAGACCATATGAAATAGCGAAACCAACAATTACAGGCTCACCAAATTTATTGCCGTAATCGGATGCGCCATTGCTTGCCTCAATTAGAACTTTAAGTGGCTTGGCAAACGATGAAGGATATTCAAAAGTATTATTCTCGTATGTTTGTATATATCCTGCATAGTAAGTATTTGTAAGTGCTTGAAAAATTACCATGCTTATATTTCTATTTATAATAATTTACATATTGTACATATATATTAATTTAATACAACACAGATCGCTTTGCATTTAATAAATAAAAATATTACTATAATTAATTTATATATTTGTAATTTAATACGAACCTGGAATGTTTAAACAACCAACACAATAACCAGCAGTGCCAGCTATAGGTATACCACCACGTCCGACTCCTTGGACATCCCTAAATATAGATATATATACTTAATTAATGATAATTCGTACTATTTTCTAATTTAAATTATATTCACCATCAATACTACGAAATCTAACCACAAAAGGATATGGTATAAGTGACAAAATAAATATTTTACAGAAGAGTTTACACTTTAACATTTATTTCGTTGTCAAAAAGTTATAGGAAATAATTTGAGTAAAAATTGAGTTATTCTGATGAACTTGGTACATACCCTGCAAACCATATATCTGTTAAGTTAGCGGTTAGCTACCCAATAGCGTTACCAGAGGTTTCTGGCAAAGTTTCTATGCGTTTCTTAAGTGCCAATTCACTTCTAACCGAAACTCGTATACAAGAGATCATCCCAACACAAAGCGTGACACCCGGGCACGAGCGGCACGGGCCCTTCGTCTTTTCTTCGCCTACGAAAAAACTGGTTTGGGCGACAAAAGAGACCTCGTATGAACAGAGTTAAGTGAACACTATTTGTGGTAGCGTCAGAAAACATTCCGTAATTAATTTCAATAGTGCTAGCGGTATATAAATTCGGTATGCTTTTTTGAACCATAATTGTACCCTGAACAGAGATTGAAAAAATTCACTTTCCGCTCACGGATTTGTAATCTATGCGTAAAAATAAGACGATTTGAAAAAAAGAATTCATTTTTGAGGCCTCCTTAGTTGGGAGACCTAAACTATACATTTACCAAATAAAAATAAGTGTATAGCCATTGAATTGAGAATTTTATTTAACAATCCGATTTATCCAGAAATCCGTTACAATTGGTGTCAGAAGTGGGATTGTCAAATAAACTCCCAAAGAAAAAATTGTTTGAAAATGACTAAGTTTAAAAATTTGAAGATGTTACAACTGAAAAAGGAGCTGGAGAAACATGGTTTGACAACAAATGAAGTAACGTCCAAATTGGAGTCACGGTTACGACAATGTCGCAGATGATAACGCATAGAGAGCATAATTCGAAACGATTGGAGCGTATATGTCAGCACAGTTGGAGGCGCACGGGCTTCATATATCAATGTAGGAAGAGCAAGAAGAGTGTATACCAGTACAAGGGTTCTCACAGTCTTTGCAACAAGATCCAGATTTGCAAAGTGTAATGTATATATGTATATAATTCCAAAATTTCCCAACGAGCTGCACAACGGTCCAAATGTAGGTCTTGAGAATCACTGAAACCTTGGGGAAATTAAGGCAAAAGCTTAGTACATTGCAACTAAAAGTTTGAGGTTCAAGCTTAAACAATACATTTTAGGTGCACTATTTGAGCGAATTGCCATAAATGTAGATAGTCCATTTCTCACAAATAAAGTAGAAAACAAATATATGTTGGTAGTCAAGGACCATTTCCACGAATGGCCAGAATTATACAGAATTCATAATTTAGAGGTTGAACCAGTAGCGAACGTATTCATCAACAGGTGGGTAAAGAGATGTTCCAATGGAATTAGCCCCGAGATGAGAGACATAAATACTATGCGTTTGGTACCGCAAATATATCTAATCGGGACGATCAAACTTAGGTGGAGGGCAGTGTGACGAAGACGGATGCCAGAACAAAATTAATCTGCCACAGACAACAAAATTCGTAGTTGCCAGCAAAATTCGAGTGTCGAAGTTTGGTTAATGATCTACTAAGATGCCGGATTGTGCAGCAGAAACAGTTATAGTTAGAGCGCTGCCGTGTAGAAAGTAAATGAGATCTAAGTAAGAAGTTATAAACTCGGATAATTAGTAATAAAGCGTTAAGTTGTTGGAATTAGAAATAAAGATAAATGTATAGCCATAAAATTGGGACTTTCATTTAACAATACAGTGATCGAATTCAAGAGTGAATTAAAAGGTAGTCGAACTTCATTATAGTGAACTTAAATATAATGTACTCTCCTTATAATAATTTCGAAGTAACAGCTTTTTCGTTTTACTTTCAAGCCTCATAAGTTTTTCTTCCCATATAGTGAATTTTTTCAAATATGTTTTCTGTTACACTCAGTTATATGCAACTGCGTGATCCCAGAAATAGATAAAGTGTAATAAGGGGAATCCCAAAATAAAAATAGAGATTTCAGCTTTTGCAGTTGTACAGTGTTTAAAGTTAAAATAACGCGTCGAAGCAGCATTTCACTTGAAAAAAAGTTATTGATTATTAACACAGTTAAAGAAGGGACGACAAAAAGATATTACTAATCCGCTTGATATTCTTGCTAGCACTTCATCAAATATTTTAAAAAATTTAGAAGTTATTTTAAAAAATACGTGGTAAGAATTTTCCTTTATCTGAATTATTATTGAAGCAAAGCCAAAGGTTTTGCTGAAGCACTAGGACATCATGAATTTGAAGCAAGTACATGTTGGTTAGACAAGTTCAAAAGACGGCATGGTTTATTCAAAAATTGTTATGAGGGCAAAGTCCTGACACCAATACACAAAATCGTGCAAAATAGGTAATGAACGTTTTACCGAGATTGATTGAAAATTACAACACAAACGATATCTTTTATGCCGATGAGACTGCTTTGTTTTTCAAATGCTTGCCAAAAATGAGAATAACTGCGCTGGTGGAAAGCAATATGAAAAGATTAGAAAAACTTAAATTTCTTGTAATCGGAAAGACCTAGTAATCGAGGTACTTTAAGGGAATAAAATTTTTAACTGTCAATTATGAATTTAACAAAAAAGCATAGATGACAAGAGAGATTTTAACGAAATAGATTCTAAAGATCGACAAAATATTTGGTGATGAAAACATGAAAGTATTGCTTTTTGTTGATAACTGTACTTCACATGTTCAGATCGGACCACTATAACATATAGCTGTCATACAAACTGATCAATCAAAAACAAGATAAAGATCTTTTTATACCCATTCAAAAATTCAGCTCTGGAATATTAATACAAGTATATTTTCCCAGCTGCATTTTTGAATGGGTATAAAAAGATCTTTAGCTTCGTTACAGTCGAATTTTTCTTGTATCCGCTTTGTACATAAACACAAGATAATAAAAAAAATTTCTGTAAAGTTGTTTCATGTTATAGACAATGCCTTGGTCCATTGGTTGCAGTAACGAAATCATGTTGGGAGGAAAATAAACGAGATTTATATTTTTCAACTTGCTTTGTACATCTCTAGGATGCGAAGTACAGTTATCAACAAAAAGCAATACTTTCATGTTTTGATCACCAAATATTTAACCCTAACACATAACATACCTCTATATGAATGTACTGTGTTCATCTAACATATTATACATATGTTGACCTATTTTTAGTACTCACCTCAATCTTCCACCTGCACCGGTGGTAGCTCCACTAAAAGGAGCAACTGCTGTCGGCATATTGTGCGTTTCCGCTGTGAAAATTAAGTCTGATTCAGCATTTACCAAGTTAACACAACTGGGCTTATCACATTTTTGTGGTCGAATTAATTTACACTTAAAGCCATGTATTGCACTGCTGTTATCGCTGAATTTTATAGTATTATTCGTATTACTAAATTTTTGAGTATTCATTATCATTTTTATTAAGGACTCAGGTTTTTGCTGTCCGTCCAATAAAATCTTGCCTCGAAAAAACCAGTGGCGGGAATGTTCGCTGTTGCTTTGAGCACAATCAAAGAGTTCAACAGTAGACGGATCCCGTTTTAGAACTTCTTGAAACAAATACGTATAGTAATCCATATCCCAGTCGTTAAACGCAAGGCCTAATTCAGAATTCACTTTCTCCAGAGCTGGTCGGCCAACTGTTAAAAGAGGTACGTGATACCAAGGCTCATGATATTTCGGAAGCTGTTCGTTAAAACTATTTAATGGTAAATTTTCTCTAATATATTCACATTCGGTCATGCGATCCCCCAGAAAATCAACAAGTTGTGCTTTTAGTGTTTGTGTCACACCTTGAGTTGAATTAAATCCAATAAGATAGCGCATTGACATCTCTACGCGTACTATATTATTTAGGCCAACATTTTGACATATATTCACACAATTGGTTGAGAATGCAGTGGAAAAATTTAAGCGCGGACCAATTTCAATGAGATACGCCTGAGAATGAGTGACCAAAATACTTTTGTTATTCAACGAAGATATATCAGCCTGTGGGTCTTTAAGTAACCAGCGTAATAAATATATATTTTTTGTATTATCCTCAATACGAGAAGTAGATTCCACATGAAAACATTTTTCAACTTCTAATGATGAAATATTGCCAGATATCTATGAAAAGTAAGTAAATATTATTAATTTATAACTTTAAAATGAAAGTTATATTCTAAAGTTAATATGGATGCATATACTTATGTATAATATAATGCAATAGCCTAACGCTATATGCTTTTTAAAGAAGCTGTAGCTAATGGTTTTAAATATACATAAAACTTACTTTAAGGGAATGCATCTTTTAAAAATTTTATTTTAAAATCGTAGTTTTTATTTGACGCCACTTATTTTCAATTGTCAAATTGCATTCAAATTTACCTTTTGCCTTACTAAATTTAATTTAAAAGTTTTGCAGAAAACTCTGTTCCCATTACAAAACTTTAACAATTGCTATCGTCAAGAATTATTTACGGGAGATGGTTTTTAATTAATTATTTCAACATATAGAGCCATCTTTGATCTAAAAGTTTGTATGCAATTATGTTGAGTACGCGCTCAAAAATTTTAATTGTGCTTTCGTTTTCACAATATTAACTTACTTCATAGAGATGTAGTCAACATGAAACAATTATCAGTTCGCATATAGTATATGTATAGATTACACAAAAATTTATTCACAATCATTCATAACTGAATAACGGCAATTTCCATAGAAATATCAATCGCAGCGAACAACACTTTTTTTTAATAATATATACTTCTTAGATTTTGAGTTAAGAACTTACAAATGGCATGTTAATTTAAACATTTAATTTAATACAACAAAAAACGATAACTTCCACTGCACCAAAGCTATAATACCCTTTGCATATTTTATAGCATAAAAGGTTAGAGAAAGAAACTTATCTTGATTTTGATCGGTCAGTTTGCATACAGCTATATGCTATGGGAGTCCGATCCGAACAATATGATCGAAGATTGTAGCGCTAACTTGGAAAATAATCTTTGACAAATTTTGTAATGAAATCTTGTCAAATGAAAAAGTTTTCCATACAAAAACTTGATTTTGATCGGTCAGCATTTATAGTAGCTATGTATATAAGTATATGCTATAATGGTTCGAGATCGACGTTCCCACGAATGAGCAGCTTTTTGAGGGGAAAAGGACCTGTGAAAAGATCGAATATCTCACAAGCTGAGGAGCTGTTCGCGTACATTCAGACAGACAGGCAGACGCACGACCATGACTAACTAACTCCGCTCGTTACGTGGATCGGTAAATGTATAGTTTAGGTCACCCAACAAAGGAGGCCCCAAAAATTAATTTTTTTTTTAAATCATCTTTACGCGAAGATTACAAATCCGTGAGCGGAAAGTGAAATTTTTCATTATTTTATGTACGTATTTTCAAATATATTCAACGCACTTTGCACATATTTTTCAAGTCACTTAGTTGTTGTTGTAGCGGCAAAATTCTGCAGAATTCAGATCACTTAGCTGTAATTATCAGTTCAGCGAGTTAAACATTTTCTTGTGATACTGATACTGAAAAAATGTAACAGTCACAATTTCTTTTGCACCGCGATCTGATGGTATGAACGCATATCGGAGATCATCTAACTCCTCTCCGCACTGAAGGCCTTCGGCCGCGCTTCAAAAAAATAACCCTGGTCGGTCCAAAACCGAGGTGTTCATAATTTAATCGCGTCAAACTTCTTTCTGCACTGGCACTAAAAAATTTTTTTTTTTTTTTGAAAACATTAAAAATTAGAATTATCGAAAAAGTTCACTTTCCGTTCACGGATTTATAATATTCGCCTCAAAATAAGACCATTTAAAAAAAAATTTAATTTTGAGGCCTCCTTAGTTGGGGGACCTAAACTATTCATTTTCCAACTTCTTGACACTCTTAATACCAAAAAGAGTATAATAAAACTTTCTTATTCCCCATTGTATACATACATAAGTATGTACCTATGTATGTATGTACATATGTATATATATTATAATTAGCTAATTGTATTATAGGTATGAAATGACTTTTTCATATGTACTTATACACATATGTATGTGCATACAAACATTATATCGCCCATAAAACAACTTAATGTGTGTAAATGTCCCCTCAATTAATTTACATGAAAAAAATAAATCTTATTACGAGTTAAATAAAGTAGATACTTACTTGTTGCAATTGTTTCAGTAATCTCGACTTATGCGGTTCGCTCCATGTGTTCGGGGAGAAATAGCGTAAAATTGGCATGGCGACAATCACCTAAGTCAATATTTTTCTTAAAGACACGTGTGGCACAACCGAATCAAGCAGCAGCTTTAGTGAATAAAACGAGACCTTTATACAGCGTTGTTTAAAAGTAACTGGCAAATAAATATAAGTTTATGTTTGCACTACACAATGTTAAACTTTGTGTGATACATGCTTATGATCATACACACATATGGTATAGTTAGGTTGTAATATTTTTCTTCAGAGGTTATCAGCAATAAGCAAAACAAATACAGAAGACTAAAATTTTATGTCAGTCCAGCGATTATCAATACTTTATTTTCTTATTACGCTTACGATACGATTTAATTCAAAAAATCAATGCTGATAACAAATTAATGAAAATATTTCCATTATAACTTGGCAATTGCATACAAAATAAAATAAGTATTTTATAAATTCAGTGCAAATATTCAGAGAATATATGCAAGATTATGATATAAATAAGCAGAATATATATCACATACTATTTAGTGAATATTTAGATCGGTACAAAAATAATTCTATCATCCTTGATTCTTGGTAATTAGCACGATGAGTAAAGCCAGAATAATAATCTATCTTCACAAACTAATGTATTTTATTAGCATACTCACCATTGTATAAGCCTATAGTAGATTTATACAATGATACTCACTCTAAAAGAGTAATACAACGACGCTGTTGTAATCTCCATATCTACTGTTATTAATACTATGAATTATAGAGAAATTCGTGCACTATACAGAATACAATCATGCTAAACCATGATAAAATGCTCGGTTTTTTAATAAAAGAAGTGTTCTAATCGTGTGTTTGTGTGCTTGTAACAAGAACGAATCACGCAGCTTTGAAAAACTTGGCACGGCGTAATTTATTAAAAACAAATTAACCGATTTTAATAAAAACACCAATGCGGCTTCACAATATTTAATATACATACAAATTTCTTGCCGAAGTGGTAATATTGGAAAATGGTTTATCACACTGTTTGATTAACAGTGAAAAGCGTCGTTCAATCTGACAGCTAATGTTTGCCAACACTGCTTCACACATTCTAATTGAAAATATCAAACTAAATCATAGATAACAGAATACGAATATTATCCATGAACTAAATACATATATCATAAATATATTTTAAAACCGCATATAATTACATACATATGTGTATGCATATACATATGGTAATTGTATAGTTTAGGTCCTCCAACGAGGGAGGCCGTGAAAATGATAATTGTTTTTATCGTCTTAATTTGTTGCGAAGATCAGAATATCGTGAGCGGAAATATATAATATATGTTTAACACACTTTGCACACATTGAAATATATCTAAAATGCGGGTTTATAGTGCGTCTTTCAAGAAAAAAAAAGTATATTGTAAGTATATACTGAACTACCGGCATTCGGCCGCGCTTAAAAAAATAAAACTGGCCGGTCCAACACGGGGTGTCCATAGTTATTTTGCGTCGAACTCCTTTCTGCACTCGCGCACACCGCGGTTATATTTTTTGAAATTCAAATGAATTAAAATTTTTGAAAAAATTGTTTGATTTTTTGCTCACGGAATTCTTATCTTTGCTTTAAAATAAGACGATTAAAAAAAGTACAATTTTCGCGGTCTCCATCGTTTGGTGCCCTGAACTATGTATACAATTACCAAAATTTTATTAATTAACGCACTATTTTGAAAAAGTTATTACAAATTTCAGAAGATCACCACGAACTGATTTTGCTAGAATCAAACAAGATGATCAAGTTAACCTAATTTTATGTTGGTGCAAACTATATTAATAAGAACTCTACTCAGTGTAATACAATGAACACATGCCTTTACCAAAACACCTGTTTTTATGTATGGAGCAAAATATAATATTAAAAACTTTACTATTTTTCAAAAAAAAACCAAGTACTAAAATTATGATTTTAATAAAGTAATAATATTTATTTTTATTGGTTATTTCCTTTTGTACGATAGTCTCAATCCAAGTACTCGCTTTTGTGACAGTAGCGTACAGCCCAAATATAATATTCACAAAATTCTTTTGTTTTTATCGCATCTATTATATGTGAATATGTTTTGCTGCCTTTGCAGCTTGCACACTTATTTCATCCATACTTTTACGAGCACTTTCAGTCATGTCATCTAATGAGTGTTTTGTTTTCATTAAGAAGTCATCGGCAGACTCGGCAATACCTTTGACTTCTGCATTTATACGTCCAATTACCCATTCAAGACCTTGGCGCCCCTTGCCAGCATTCATGCTGATTGTGGATGTTAGCATATCTTCCATATAGTGACACAACGGAACGCCTTGCACACTGACGGACGCTTCCTGCTTTAGTAGCGTTTTACTAGAATCCGTGGGATGTGGTTCATAATAGAGCACTTCATCAACCGATATATGCCGACAGAAAGTCAAGTTAATGGTTTTTAAAATCATTTGTTTCCGTTGCGGGTCCACAGTAGAACGTTCACTTGCAAAACATGTTTTGGCAGTACCAATTAGTGAATTTGTCCATTTTGGGAAATACCACTTCGACTGAACAAGGCGGTGCGTGTGTAACACTCCGTCTACCACTTCACGCTCTACAACATCTGTTCCAATTATAGATGGTGTCATCGGATTCGGATATTTTCGCCAGGCTGCCTGTGTAACTGTTTCCCATGGGTGGTTGAATGTGTGCTCCGACGTCCATATCTTCATTATGCAAGTATATATGTGTGAATGAAGGCTTCAGATAATCGTTTCGCAATCAATTTTTGCTAGGGCTTTAACGATTCCAGTTGCCTATATCAAAAATATGTGTAATATAATATGTAATTTCAAAAGTTATTAATTAATCACATTGAATTTATAATTATGAATTATCACAAAATGTTGGAAAACTAAAACAAATTAATGTAAATAACCTTTAGCTAAAATTAAATAGCGAAATAAATGCCCAAGAGTCAATGAAAGAAGTGTGGCCCTTGAAAATAATTTCCATCTTCTAAACAAAAATTCGATACATTAAACATACCCTATTGACTTTACATATTGTGACGGACACGGATGATAGAACAAAATCGAATCAACGATAAACTGCCAGAAGCAGCTAGTTAGCGAATTCGTAGTTGCCAGCATGTTCTAGAAGCAATGTTTTGTTACAGATTTACTATATAAGGGCTGCCGGATTGTGCAGCAAACACAGTTCTAGTTAGAGTGTTGTCGTGATAAGAACAATTGAGACATAAGCAAGAAATTGTAAGCGCGAATAACGAGCAATAAGTGTTAAGTTGTTGGAATTAGAAATAAAGATAAGTGTATAGACATTAAATTGGGAATTTTATTTAACAATCCAGTGATCGAACTCAAGAGTGAGTTACAGGTAGACGATTTATCGAGAAATCCGTTACAATATCTATTGTGATGCCGTTTGGATTAATTTAAATCAAACGTTCAAATGGCATCCACCACATTTTGCTGATATGCATTCACGAATAAACGAATTTACATAATCCGCCTCAAATACAACAATAATGTAAAAATAATTGGAAATTAAAAAAAAAATTATACGTTATTTAGAAGTCAGAAAATTAATTAGTAAATATAATAATATTAATTAGTGTAAATAAATTTATTAATATTATTATTTTTATTACTAAGGTTATTTCCGTAGAAGTAAATTTTGGAAGAAGTTTTATTGTTGCTAATTTTATTATTGTAAATAATTTTACATGGTTTATAACATTTACACAGTTTTTGCGTGTTCACAATGCAAGTGTGCACAGATTCACAATAATCAAACTATCTGTAGGTAAGCTAACCGCAACTTGGTGAAAACGGTTTTGTTAGTTAAAGCTATCATCCAGTTAAACCTTAAAGAGTATATCATAGAGTGACTACTATTAATAAAGAAAGGTTGAATAAAAATGCAAGATATGCTTAATATAGTGGAAAGCAAACTAAAAAACTAAACTGAAGTGGAATAGAATATGTTAGAATATAATTTAATTGAGGTTTGCACGGCGACCTAAGGTATATTTTGCCCTCTCTTTTATCAGCATAGCTGGAGAGTTCGTCGGCCAGCTCATTGCCGGCTGCACCTTTATGCCCCGAAACCCAGATCAGATGTACAGTGTACACGGTTGCAGACTGCTAGGCTGTTCAGAGTTCCTATGCACTCCTCCACTAATAGCGATTTAATCTTTATTTAAAGTCTGAGATCGCTCTCTCATGATTGAGAAATACTTGGCTAAAGCTATTACTATGGTGTGCGGTCCTGCAATCCCTGCACCGATAGACCTTCCGATGTTTTCGAGCCGTCAGTGTACTACTGAATTTTTCTGCTCCTCAGTAGTAGGTCAAACGTGAAATAATTCCAGTTAGCTTTATTGCCTAGGATAACTTTGAACTTCTTTGTGAAGTTTAAACTTTTTGTAATGCCGTCTCTTGGACGGAGAGCTTGTGGAGTATCTTCAAATAAGGTCTTTATTTTTTTAGACAATATTATCCTCCCTTTTCCATACCTCTTCGCTGCCATGAGTAGCATAGTATACTTCGTTGTCTGAATGATTACTAAATGGAGCGGTGGAGCTCCAGCATGACCTTAAATATTGCGGTTGGGCACGTGCGTATTGCTCCAGAGTCGCAGACGCAGGCATGTCCTTACAGCTTCAATAGTTAAAATCCTATCGAAATCTACGATGTATTTGATGCCCAAACAACCGCTCCATAAGTAACAATAGGTCTCACGATCATGGCATACAGTCACCTGATTATGCTACAGCCCCAGGATTTACCGGCCAGGTGTCTGCATACCACAAGTGCTTTTGTAGCTTTAGTCACCTGCCTACTCCTGCTTAATGTAGGGCCTAGGTATTTAACCTTCTTGGACACCTCTAACTCCCTTCCACCAAGGGCTAGGGTCCTCAAGCCCGACAGAGGTGGGAGTGTCGCACCATCTCTTTGCTAGGCTTAAGCCCCTTTGAACTATATCGCAGAGAGTATTCTCAAATTTGCCTCTTACCATTATGACAATATTGTCGGCGTATTTTGACACCGAATTCCCTTATTTGTAAGCAGCTTACGGAGCTTATCTACTACAGGGCTCAATAGAAAGGGAGACAATACCGCGCCTTTCAGGCAACAAGATCCCATATTACCTTGTTTGTTCTTGTATTGAGGCAACTTCTATGAGGACTCTGTCGGTTACAGGATTGGTTCTACGAGGACCGTTTGATTTTTTTTCTGGACCAAAAAGTAAACCAAATTGAGGGAAAATGAACCAAACCTTATTCGAATCGGAAGAGCGGAAGTTGGAGGGGGGATGTCGTTCGGTGAGTAGTGTGAGAAAAAAATATATTATATTCTTCCCTCAAACAAAAGAAATATACGTTCACGTTATTAGTTTCTTTTATTTTTTTATTTTACATATTTTTATTTTTTATTTCACTTAAGATTATTCACATTTTTAACTTCAGTACATCTTTCAGGTATACGAGTATAGATATATTTTTCAGAACTATGTGCTAAAATATATTATCACTATACATATTAAAAGTATAATATAGTATGTATATAATGTAAATGCATATCAAAAGAAAAATAGTGGCTAAATGATCTATCAGCCTTCCCATCGAACATCACTCCACAAGCAACACTGGTATACTCCAACACACTACAACAATACCATCGACTCCCGAAAACACCCCACCCAAATACATACAACTTCACATAACTCACCGAGGGATACCAACATACACCACACTCGATCTTACCACTCTGCACAATCAACAAAAAGGATCAAGAACTGGATACGGGCTCTCTTTTCTTCGATCGTCATCATCGAGCCTATACGGGACATCTGAGTTTCCTGCATTTTGCAACGTTTTTCCTGCGCGACGCCGTTTGTACCGGAATTCTGTTTTCAAAACCGAGCGTTTTTCGTCACTTACTATTATTATAACATTTTAGAGCTTAACATGTTAAACAAGTGTGTCGACATTACAAGGTGTAAATTCGATATTGTTAATGTTGCATTATTTCTTTATTTCGCGAGTACGTGCTGTAAAGGTAAAAGTGGTGAGTGCCTTAGTACAAAATACCAACAATTTAATTATGGTCCTTCGAGCCCTAGTGGAAAGCACTATGGGTTGTTAAAGAAAAAACCTATAAAAAAAAAGAAGTACAATGAAAATGTGGGTGCGAAATAAAAAGTCAATTGAATAAAGCAAAAACAAGGAACAAAAGTACAGTAACGTAACAGTGTATTGCAGTTACGGAAACAAAAAAAAAAACCAAACAGCCTAGAAAGCTAGGCGATATAAGTAAAACTTCATGGATCTCGATGGGTTATGAAATGAAAACTCATAATTGTAAATTATTTAAGTATCTTGAGAAAATTGTATCTATTGTCGTGCCTGATCTGGTTGTTGAGTCTTTGGGATTAATATTCATTTTTTAGTTAAATTTATTTTTTAAAAATTGTATAAGTTGTTGAGCTTCTTTCAAGGCAAATTTGACATTAAAATCACCGCTTAAAATCATTGGCATAGCGTGCAAATCTTCTCCTAATTCTGCTGCACTAGAGGGAGTATATGCCAATAATGCTCTATGTATGAATTTACAGATTGAAATAAAATTATAAAAAACATTTATTAATTGAGAGCTAATACATGTTTTTTTTGGATTAAGTGTTTAAAGTTCAAAAATCAATTGTTTAATATATTACAAAATCACAAAAAAGGGTTTAAATAGTTTCTGCATATGTTTAACGGATACATGAATAATAATATTTAATCTTAATAATTGCTGGGTATTTTAATTTAAATTCTTAAAAATTATTATTTTGTCCGAACTGGCTACAATGGGAAAATGTTATAAAAAACGCTAAATAAAGATAAAACGTTGGATAAAACTAAATGACAACTTTGCCGACAAACATACATACATAGGTAATCGCTTGTTTGAATTTTGCGACAATGTCGGTCGGCTATGTTGTCGTGTTTGTCCATTTTGCAGTCCTTTGCTATTGAAAATTAACTTATGCTCTTTTGAAATACTACGACTACCGATTGAGCTGGATTTTCATAGCGTTGTATTTAGATGAAATGGGCTAAATCGAAAAACTATGAAATAATGATAATAAGTAAACTTATAGAAGTAGTATATGGAGTGTGCTTAGAACATATAAAAGTAATTAAAAATTTCATATGCATGCAATTTTATATAAATTTTGTAATAAAATGTCATATATATTGCATAATATTAAATATATGTTAATCAAATTTTTAAATCGCTAATAGGTCATGTTGCCAATTCTCTTTTCTGACGAAAACATCAGACAAATTCTTCAATTTCTGATGTTTAGCATCGTCGTGAGGAAGCAGCTTGTGGGCAACATACAAATGCGAGGGGAATGGTAGGATCAATTGTAAAATTGAAATTTTGCTGATTCTTCAGTTTTACTGAAAACAATCAAATTCAATTTCATCAATTTTTATTTAAACTTTATGAAAACCAAATGTGGTTTACCAGATGCACAGAAAAAATAGCGCCGCGCAGAGTTATGAACGAACGCTTTGCTTAATAGCAGACGCACATTCCTTATGAATGAATTTGTTGTCGTTGTAATAGGAAATACTTAGAAAAAATGGGTCGAGTTTGCTTGAATATTATTGGTCGATGATGGTGCGTCTACGTTTTTTTGTCACTTGAGCTAATGTTTAATTTTTTACAAAAGGCATATTGAGGGACATACATACATATGTACATATGTGTACATATTATACCTGAAAATATATTTAGACATTCGGAGAATTTTCACATACAAATTGTTCATTTGAAAGAAGTACACGACGATATCTGTTTAAGCACACACATTAAACCCGCTTGTTTTGATATAGGATGTGGTGCAGAATTCCTTATTGCAACATCAAATATTTTGCCTAAGTTAAAATCCTATCACAAATATTTTTCTTTTCTCATTTTTATTTTTATAAACCTTTTTTTATTAAATGACATTTTAATTATATTTTTATTATTATTTCCCTCTTATTATTTTAATTTTTGTTCATGCGCATACCAAAGA